GAAATAAGATCAAGTAAAAGCTATAGGATTTATATCCTTTTCATTGAAATAAATGGGAATTATAGATGTAAAAGAATAAAAAGCAGAGGATATCTATTTCTCATTTTCAACAAAAGGCGTTAATATCTTCATTTTACTTTAGCTGGTAATTGTTTTTTTCAACGTACTAATGATTTATGCTATGGTCTAAGTGAAGCAGATACAAATGAAGAACTATGTAGTGGATCATACTATTCCGATAGTGATATCAAAGAACTTGATGGATTTGCATATGCTGAAAATTGTCGTCCTGTAAATGGTATGTATATGTTGTGGTCAAAATTAAAATTCAGTCAAATTTAAAATTTGACGAATCATCTGGGCAAATTTAAAATTTGCCTAGTCAAAAAATCAGCCAAATTTAAAATTTGCCCAGAAAATTCAGTCAAATTTTAAATTTGACTGAATTTGAATTTTGACCACAACATATATATAGAATGTACTATATATCTATATATATCTTAATATAATAGTATTACCAAAACTATGTGATTTTAATTGTGGTCTTGGTCAACAATGTCAATTGATAAACAATGAAGAAATGTGTGTATGTAGTGAAGCATCATGTACTTCATCGGATTCATTATCATCTAAAATTGAACAACATCCATTATGTGCATCAAATAATATGACATTTAGTTCAGAATGTGCGATGGAAGCTTGGAAATGCTTCAATCAACAGTCAGCATTATATAAAAAATATGATGGTGAATGTCAAAGTAAGTATTTAAATCATTCAAAAAGAAATATAATCTTTTCTGTCTTCTTTTTTCTTTTTTTTTATTCCATAGAGGATTGTCAAAATGTTAGATGTCCATCTCATAAAGTTTGTTTATTAGTTCAAAATACAGGTGAGCCAATATGTTATCCAAAAAATCATTGTAATTCAACATTAAATCCTGAACCAGTTTGTGATACAAATGGTATTACATATCCAAATATTTGTGTCATGCGTCTAAGTTCTAATCGACAAGGTCAAACACCTGTATTAGCCCATAAAGGTTCTTGTGGTATGAATTTTAAAAAGGAAAATTTCTTTTTTTCTGTCTAATATTTAAATTTTAATAGAAAATGAATGTCGACCAGATCTGTGTGAAGCAAATGAACGTTGTGTGTATTCTAAACAATTTCGTCCAGTTTGTATACGTTGTCAATATTCTTCGACATTTTTAAAACATAGTGGTGAATGTACTATGAATATACCAATATGTGGTGATGATCAAAATTTATATGAAAATTATTGTTCTCTATTATTTGCCCAATGTTATAAAAATCAGTATATTAATATAACTGGTTATGGTGCATGTCCGACTAAAAAACGTAAGAATATTAATAGAAATAAATTCAAATATTTAAATCGATTTTCAAAATTGAAAGTGAATTGAACAATGGTGAATATTTCTTTATAAAGAATGTCAATGTTAGATGAGAATGTAGATCTCGTAAAATATTGTTCCATATAACCGGTGAATGTATTCTTAACCTAATATTTTGTTGTGCATATATATATATATATTTAATGATCGCTTACAAGCGAGTATAATCATTAAAAATAGCGTCGAATTTAACTTTTGTTTTCCTTGTCTTTATCAATGTATTATATTTTCCTTAATGGAAATTGAAACAAAAAATTAAAAAAAAAAAACTTTATTTGTTGTATCTTATATTTTATTCTTCTTATTTTTTCTTGTTGTGTCTGTTGTCAATATTTGCCACTCATTGTATATTTGTTTAAAAACAAAAAATTACAAAAGAAACAAAAATATTGCATCTAAAACAAAAAATAAATCTTTTGTGTTTTTTTTTGAAAACAAGAACTATAACTTAAAGAGTTAAATGATCTGATAGAGAATCAATATTATTCTTTAAATAGTAATTCTACATAAATATACGTCGAAGCAACTTCTGATTTTCAGATTGTTTAAAAGTCATTCTAATTGTGGCGAATTATCCTGTTTTTTCAATTTTTGGCACTCTTATACAAGAACATCCTAAATCCAGAAAATCAGAATTATTCGCCAAACCTTGAATGAATCAAAATGATTTTTAAGGAATCAAGACCGCTATGATACATACATAAGTAATAGGCATATAATATGTTAATGTATAAAACATATAATCTATTATTCATAATTCTTTTGTTTATAGTGAAAATATTTTGAGAGCAAGAATATGATCTTCTAAAGTTAAGGAATAATTTCATATAAGTTTTCATTTTATAGTTTTGTATGATCGATTTTTGTAAATTCTAAAATTGATGGATAATTACAAAATATTATTAAATAAATATGTTTTGGTGTTTGTCATCTTAACAAAAATAAATGTGTTTGTTGAAAAGTCAATCATTATGCCTATTAGTAAGGTGATCGAGAGAAAAAAAAAAGAAAAATATCGATCGGTTAAATATGGACTACTATTATTCTGTTTAGGGCATGTCAACCCACGTCGTCTCTTTTTTAGCAACTGCGACGCAGTTATGGCGTAACTGCGTCGCATCTCAATCATAACTGCAAAACATTGCGCTGCAGTTACATGTAGTTACGATGAAATAATCGCAGTTACGCGTAATTATGATGAAAAAAATCGCAGTTACACGTACCACACCGTACTTTTTCAAAATTACGAGTCACAATGCGATCGCAGTTATGCCGTAACTGCGTCATAAATCGATCGTCATTGAATATATGGAAATTTTCTTTTTTTTAATTCTACAAAGGTTTCTTTCATTTTTTTTTGAGTTGCTTTACATACCAATCCATAGCTTTCGTTGATTTGTATACGATGTTAAAAAATTTTTACTTTTTTTGCATTATGTTTAGTTAAGATCTTGTTGTACTAAATATTATATATTGTAAGAATTTATTTGATTATTTATGATCAACATAAAAAAGTGCTCGAATCTATTTACTGTCAATGTAATTGCGATGATGAAAAGAGAATATCAATAATCTTCGTGTATCATAATGTGTGCTAAGATTAAAAGAAAATTTTCGTTATCGACTATAAATCAAAAAGAGCAGCGATCAACGCGAAACCTAATCATACACCAATCTCTAATAATTTATTTATTTTGATTAACTGTTTATATTAAAGGCGCACAATCTTTAATAGCTGCCACATATTAGGGCTTGTCATGTTGTAAACGGCGAATTAATAATATTAATTTAAACAAAATGTCAAGTTATCCTTCTTTACACCCACGAATATTATATAGACAATTGTACTCGTCGTAACTTTTAATTGTGTATGGATTGGTTGTTACTGTTGCCGTTATTATTCTGACTCATAAGAGAAAAATTGTCTTTCGTATGTTAATCTTAATCTATTGTGCGCCATTGACGTTTTGTCATTTTCTATCTGCTTTCCATCTTAACATGCCAGACAAAATTGCTATTGTGCTCGATGAAGCGGGAGACTACTAAGTTGTTGCTTTATAGATTTGAATACCGATTAGCATAATTGTATTCTAGAACATATACGACTAAAACTAAGAAATTGTTTATTCGGTTCTTTTTAAAGTCTATCATTCTAGTCGTATCTAGAAATAGTGAATTATACATAATGAATAGATTTAAATGAGTTTATACTATATGCCAGCTAAGTAATATGAAAATCGAAGTTCTGTTAAGGTCGTCCCGTAAAAAAAAGTCAATTTTCTTCAAAATAATAAAAATTAAGATAAATTCATGGAAAGATAAATCGATACCTGATCTTTCATTTATTACATGAATTTTTTATTCGGTATCTCGTTTTTCGTCCAAATTTTTAGATGATTCCTGTCATCATCTGCTTGAAAAGTATATTGTTTCCTGAGAAAGGAGGAAATGCTTTTTGTTTTTTCTCTTTTTATGCATTCTTGATCACACGATCCAGAATTCTCTGTGGGCCTTCATTGTATATATTTAATCTTTTGTTTTTTTTGAAAGAGCATGTCAAAATGTAGAACATGACAGTTTCTTCTTTTTTATTTGACCTTTGTTGCTATTATATACAGGTATTTTTTATATAAAGAGCACCATTTTTTGAAAATTTTTCCTGTCATTACACTTTTCTATCCTTAAAAAATAAGAATTTTAAAATAAGTGCTCTGTCATGCCCTTTCAAACAAAACAAATTAAGTATATAGAATAAAGACCTATAGAGAATGTTAGGTTGCCAAATGGGCTATTCTTAATCCTTGTTTGATGAATATATCTTGAAAACATCATGATATGAAGCTGAAAATTTTATCATAGCCTCTCCACTAGTCTCAATATATCCTAAAAATATCATGCGATTTAAATATACCTGACCCTTGAATCAATTTTTGAACGTGGGCGTTAAAACGCTCTTTAAGAAACTACGAGGAAATATCATTACAACAAACAGATAGTTATAAAACAACAAACTTTATTAGAAAAAAAGGTAGGATTGATTTGCAAACATTCACTAGTAGGTGAAAATTATATGAATAAAACTTCTCATATGAAATGTTCCACAAAATACAAATTAGCTGGCGTTTCCAAGCCAATGATAAGTTACATACATGGATGTACTGGTGACTATATAATAAATCTACCGTGATGAGTGATTATTGATATCATCACTTATTATTATGTTAAGGATATCTGCAAGAAAAACGGAAGAAATGAATCATATCTTGAGGCGTGGGTGTCGTTATCATTACATGTTCTGTTCTATAATTACAGACGATCTTTATTTTTATGATTATTTGATAACGATAACTATGTTGAATTTGACATGTTTATCTGTCAATACACACTTAAATATATTGCATGAAGTCATTATCAATATTGATATTCATACGTCATTCGATATATTCCCAATTTTTGTTTTATTAAGATTTCATCAGACCAATAAATTTTAACAAAAAAAGTTTGCTGTACAAAAAAAAAGAGAAAACAATAATAACAGAAAAACCAATGCTAACAATTCTATCGTGCAAATATCTGACATGAAATTTATTGATTATTTGACGTTTGTTTATGATTAACAAGTGATGAAAATGACTCTCGAAGATGTCGTTTAACTTTACGTCCAAACGTCTAAATATTTAAAAGTTTGAAAAAGAGACAATAATAACAAAACTAAATTAACAAGGAAACATATTAAACTGATCGATCTACTGAATTATAAGTTATTGACTATACCCACTTCGAATATAACCATAAGAAATCGCTGTAGGTCTTTATACGCCGATTTTCTAGGCTAACAAGTATTTTGCTAAAATTATTTTGGATCTGTTCAGACTCATTGACTTGTCTGTAAGACAATAATATTTCCTGTTTTTCAAAATTAAGTTTTAACAAAAATAGTGTCATCTAGAAGATTCTTACACTGAAGTGTTAATATGTAAAGTATCGGAAATGCAAAATGAAAGCGGAAATGCAAAATGAAAGCGGAAATTTTTTCTTTTCTTTATATATGGCTAAAGAGAGCGTGTCAAACTGATTAAGAAAGGATGCATTTGCAATTTTTTCATTTCCTTTGAATTTTAAGACTGTTTGTTTCAAGTTTAACGTGAAAAACTGAATTTAGAAAGGTCATTTTAATTAATGAGTTTCCCAGATTCAATTTTGAAATTTAAAGAAAATGAAAAAAATTGAAAACACAAACATTCTTGTTCAGTTGAACATGCTCTATCTAACTGTATGTAAATATAGGAAAAAAACCTTTCACTTGAATTTTGCATTTCCGGCATCTTATCTTTTTGATGAATTGAGATAATTATATTTTCTGCAAAAAAACGTCGCTATTTTCTGGGCAATTCGATATACTCTATAACCTGTACAGATCCAAAATATAAAAAAATTGCCGAAAAGTTTGATAGTCTAGAAAACCAACATATGAAAACCAAAGAGGATTTCTCATGATCATATTGGAAATAAAGCATTGTTGATAACCTACGACGAACTAGTTTTCAATGAGAACGTGATTGATCAGTTGAAAACGTTTCCTCATAAATTTTAATTGTTCTTTTTTTACTTGTTTATCATTTTGTTTTTTATTTATTGCTGAAGATGGTGTTATTGGAATAAGTAATGTCATAAGTTTTTTCATTTGCTGTTGTTGTGTTGTTAATTTTTCTTCATTGATTTCTTTAGCAGCTAATGTTTCACTTAATAAACGAATATGTTCATGTAATGCATCAGTTTTTATCATACAATCAACATTTCGATTATATTCACTTTGATATTTTGTCATAAGTAATTCATATTCCTCTAAAACAAAAATAAAAGATCAAGAAGAATTTTTCTTTTTTTTTTTTTGAAAATACCATTTAAATGTTCGAATGCGGTGGTTTTTTCATCTAATAATTGTCGTAGAACATCATGTTCCTATAAAAAGAAAACAAGTTGAATATCGAAATTGAGAAAAAAAGTATTAGACGAACATTTGTTGCAATTGATATAATTTGTTTATCCTTAAGTATTAATTGTTCTTGAAGTTTTTTTTCTTGTGTATCAAATGTTATTTTTGCAGATAAATGCGCTGATTTACATTGATTTAATTCTTCTTCAAAATTTTTTCTAGATAAATGTAAATAAAATATTAAAATTTCGATAAAATAAACGAATGAATCAGAAATAATTATGATTTTTGTATTTTTTCTTTTCTATTCTCTACACTGATTGAAATACATTTTTATCAAAAGATTGAACTTCAAATTTTCTACTAAATTATACTGGCAGACATAAGTTTAAAGTAGTTGTATTTTTGAATTTCCTTCTCAATGGTAATAACTAGTAAAAATTTGAAAAAAAAATTTTAGTAACTACAAGGATTCTCTATGAGGATTGATGAACCTAAAAACTCCAATGAAATTGCTTGGACGACGATATCTTGAAAATCAAGGCCTTCTAAAATCAATTTCCTCGTATTCATTTGAAGCTTTTTTGGAAACGGTTTTATTTGATAGAGCAACATGAGATATCTCGGCTCTCTTTCTCAAACTGCATTCATTTATAGAAGGTCTTACAGCGTGAAAATCATTGAAATTTTTCATAAAAACAATAGAAAAATGCTTCTTGGACCTTCTGTAAATTGAATACAATTTATGAAGACAGCTGAAACATCTCATTTTGCTCTATCAAATAAAATCATTTCTAAAATACTTCAAATGGATATTAAAAAAACTAGTTCTTAGTTTTCCATGCGATTTTATTGGAATTTTATGTCCACAATTCAAATCGAGAATCCTTTCAACCATTCAAATGTTTTTTCAGATTCTTCCTAGCTATTACCATCGAGAAGAAAACTCAAAAATACAACTGTTCTCAACTTTTGTCTGTCACTATATATATATATATGATTCGATACATTTGAACAGACATGACAAAACACAATTGTAAAATAAATATGAAAATGACAATGATCCAGTGAAAAAATACGTAATTTAGGAAGATTGATTTTTATAACGAACAGTTTATTTGTGAATAAAATAAAAGGGATTTATCAATTAGTTATAGTTTCTCGATCGTCTAACTATTGTTCAGATGAAAGCGGGAAGTTCAGACAAAATGGGTGGCAACAAGGAAATTGCTATTGAAGTAAATAATTCAAGAACAAGCTGATAGATGATATTGCATAAAAGTAGATTAATACAGGAAAACTTGGCTGATATTCATAAAAAAAAGAAGATAAAGTTTGAAAATTAGATTTCAGCAGGCAATAGCTAGGCTTCATTCACATTATATGACGTGGAATCCATTTCAAGTGATAAATCGATTTTGACTTCGGACTCTGTGCATAAAGTAGACTACAATGAGCTATGAAAAATCTTAAAAGAGTAAGTCCTGTTAGTCCTCCTTTCGAGATTATGTTCTTATAGCCTATGACACAGTATGTCCAAACAAATCGAATGATGATATTCTGACCTGAAAATTTTAGCTCAAAAGAATGTTTTCATTACAAGATATTAAATTTTCAACAAAAAACGATGAGTTTATCACAGATTCAATATCTTATGAAATACTATACCAAAGCCTAAAAGGCTAGTAAAATTAAATAGCCTTGGAGGAAATGACTAAAGGAACTTATTTTTTTGAAATTCTTTTTATACTTCATCAAGATCTGCCATATATATAGTGTCTGAGCTCAAAAACGATTAATCACTTGGAACGATCATCTCATGAATTAATAATAACCTATGGGCCATTTCTCGACATTCTCTATGACGAACTGTTAGTCGACGAATTCGTTTGATTTATAATTTTTGAATTTATTCTTCAGTATAAATTGCCTGAGGTTATAAACTACGATCATATTAATATTACAAAGAAAGCATTCATAGACAAACTAAAACATGTTATTCAAAAAGTACAAAATTTTCTAATTTGTGTTTTATTTCATCGAATGATTATACGTAATTATATTGATTAAATAAGTTATATCATTTTGTAGAAAATTTAAGATTACTATTAGTACAATATTTTATGAGATACTCATTATTTTATACATACGTTCGAAGTTCTTGTTCCGCAAGACGAATTTTCATTGCATCAAGATCATTATTAAGTTTATCAATAATTTCTTCATAAACAATATTAGTTGTATCATGAACATCATCAGTAGATTGTTTTGATATAGATGAAGCATTTGATTCATGTCGTTGAACAGGATGAGAATGTTTTATTGATGATACACCAGAAGAAACTGATGTACGAATTAGTAAATCAATATTTTTTGCTAATTTTATACAAATATCATTTAAACGTGATAAAAGTACAAGAGAAATATTTTCATCAAAATTTTCTTCATTTAATTGATCTTGTTCATTATCATACAATTTATTTTCTTTATCTTCTTGCATAAATATAACATTTATTGATCGATTTATACATGTTAAACCATCAAGTGTCGATCGAACACATTGTAATATTAAATCATTTTGACGATTTGTTTGTTCTAATCTAGATTTTAAAGCTAAAAGAAAACAAAATATATATGTATATTTAGAATTTCAGTGTTACATTCGACGAGTGAATATTTGTCAAAGAGTTAACAAATAAAGTAACAGCAACAGCATGCGAAACAGTTTTGTAAATATTATGATGATAACGAGAGACTTTCTAACTATGATAGATGTTTGTCTAGTATTGCGTCCGTCGAAACGTCGAGAGAATATGTACAAGTTTTTAAAATTATACTAAGTCTTAAGATGAAACGATCCGAACTGATACACACCGTTTGAATTTATCTTGGGCTTACAAAGATGTATTGGTAAGACTAGCAAAAGTTTAAAAGGATTCATCTCCATGGGCTTTTGAAGAGAAGTTATGATCGTTTTACTGAATTTTCGATCTAGGTATAGATATACGCCGAAACCTCAAAACACAGAATATCTTGAAGATTTTAACTGAAATTGAATACTGTAGCAAACGAATATTTTTTTTTTGGGAATTCAATATTTCGAAAAAAAGAATGCTGTTTTTAGCTGAGACTTTCAGAATATTCGAGCGGTCATTTGACCTATTAATGGACAAAATTTCACATTGAAATAATGTTTTTTTTTGTTTTACTTGGAATGTCTAAAGCTGGATCGAAAATTTATAAAGCAATCATAGCTTAGCTTCAAAGATCTAAGAAGACAAAACCTTTTTAAGCTTTTTCTAGTCTCATTAAGACGATTTGTAGGTTCAATATGAGCTCAAACGTTGGATATCAGTTCGAGTGATTTCCTCGTTAGCATCAGATTTACTACAGTCGTGTAAGATAATTATATGATCTCATATGTATTTTGTTCAATTCGATCGTTTCTCTTGAAGTTTTCAGGTCAATTACAATCATTCGAACAAGAATTATTTTCATTTCTGAAAATGTCTCTTTTTCATTTGTCTTCTATAAATATGAAGAAACTTACAAACGAAAGCTTTGTTTGTAAATTATATTTTAATATTTTAAGTTTTTTTTTAAGTAGAATAAAAAGTTATGTGTATTCCAAACAAAACAAAACAAAGTACCGGAAACGTAATCATCATCTTTTTTTAGAAATGTTTGAATAGAAATTTATACAAAGTCTACTGTGAAACGTAATTGTCCATAAGTGTCACTATAATTAATTTTGTTTTTTGAAAGAGCTTATTAATATGCAAGGCATGACAGAACCCATGTTTTCAATTAAACTTTTTTATTATTCTATAAAAAGAAGCACTTCTATGAATAGATAACCATTTTTTGAGAGTTATTCAAGATATTTAACTTATCATGATTTTTCTCCGCATAAAAAGTAAGAACTTAATTTAAAAAAAGTACTACAATGGGACATGCTCTTTCATATTAAAAAAAAATTGAATCTATATAATGAAAGCCCACAGAGAATTTCGAGTTGGGCAATGAGCTTTTTTTGACTATTATTTGTTGAATATATCCCTCGAGCATCAGGATATAGAGCTGAAAATTTCATGCAATTTGAATGTATCTGATGCAAGATTAAATTTTGAGGAGGATGGCCTTCAAGTTCGAGTAATGCATTCATTCTTCAGATATGGTGACATTTTTTAATAACTTTCGTATTTTCATCACAAATGGAAAAGACTTCATGTGAAAACTTTGTCATCTACAATAAAAATAATTCTACTATATTTCAAATGCTAATTCTACAAGATTACTACTAATAGCTTGTTAAATATCATAATAAAACTTTCACATCCAGTTTTGTACAGTTATAGTGTTTATTTTAATAAAAATTTAGTTATTTATTAATTCTCTATATTTGTAAGTGAATAGTTATTTAATTTCAACCACTATTGAAAGATTTACAATACTACTTAATATATATTTGTCGCTATTAAAATATCACTTGACCACTTAATTATTGTATTTTTTTTTTGAGCAAGGAAGAAGATTGGATATACTTGAACGAATATAAAAAAAAGGAGAATATCATGGAATTGTTCCTTTATTTTAGTTGAGAATTTCTGAAATTAAATATTGAATATTTTAAATTGATGCGGAAGAAAATAAGTTTCAAAAATGATGTCTTGATTAGGATTGAATATTATGAAATTAGAATATTAAAAGAACAGAAAAAATTAATAAATAAATATTGTATGCAGCATATTTTCACTTGCAATAGCAATGATTAATTTTAAAGTGATTATTAGCTTTCTTATAGAAAATGTATACTTCTATTAATCAATGTACAAAAACAATAAATCCGCGATAGACATTCAACCGTAACACAACAAAAAAAAAATGTAAGAGCTATTCAATATCAGTAAAAAAATAAGTGAATAGAAATCATCATACAAAAGAATCAAATATTTAAATTTTTGTCTTCTTGAATAACTTATAACATGATAAAAATCAATAAACCAAATGTTGTTAATTAATTACTTAAATCATTTAGTAGTTGTATATTATTTGAAAAACTATCTTTTTTGAAAAGCTAAGTTCAGGAGATTCATATTGAAAATAGTTTATAATTCAAGAAAAAATTCTGTTGTTTCCTGCAAAATTCATGTCATTCTAATTATATTCTTATAACGATAAAAATCGTTGTTTTTTTAAATTATTACATCTCATATATGAAAGAAATACATGTTTATTATAAAAAAAAAAAATATAAAGCTGACCTTCGAATTTGTCATTGTCATTTTTTGATTTTTCCATCCACCAACTTATTTGTTCTTCTTTACGTTCAAGACTAGCACGTAATCTTCGAATATCATATTTTAATAGATGATCATTTGATGATGATGGTGATTGTGAATTAACAATTGGAGAAAATACATGTGTTTTATTTAATGGTGTTTCACCATCATTTAATGATATTGTTGATGATGCTAATTTAATTACATTTGATGGTCGTTGGTTACCTTGAAATGTATTTGTACGACGAGCTGGCGTTATCAGATGAGAATAAATTGGTAATAGAGGACGATTAGATGCCATAAATTATTTCTGAATGTAAAAAAAAAGAGAGATTTTTTTATTAATCATTGAGATACACATGTCAGATATTTCACTGTGTAAAATTAAAAAAAAAAAAGAAGAGCATCAATATCGAAATTTACGCAAAAAAGAAAAATAAACGAAAAAATAAGCGAGCAAATAAACTCAATTCAATCAAATGATATTAATGTTTGTTCATGAGGTGGTTTTTGTGTTGTTGCAGGTGGATGTTGTAGAAATGTTTGTTGAGCATAAAGATTTTGATTTTGAGGTAATATGATTGATGCAACAGATGGAAGAGCATCGGATAATTCTATATAATTTTCACATATGATTTAATTTTACTTTACCTATATCTACTTACGTCCCATTGATAATTGAGAAGGAATTGGATGATAATAAGTAACAGGTGGCGGTGGTGATGATATGTATGGTATCTAATAAAAAATATTCATTTTATGTTTATACTAAAAATTATTTCGAAAAGATTATAAAAACTATTGTTAGATAAAAGATGGACAAGATTCCTATTCATTTATAAAGTCTCATTTTCATTTTGATCGGCTTTTCACAGCTATCAAATTTTGATCTGAAACTTTGTGCATATAGAGGACTTAACTAGACTAGCTTCAATGAAATAACTTCATAAGTTTTCAAAAAAAGTCTCTTCGCGATATGAGACTTTTAAGATATAGACGCTTTTTCATGAATGGTGTAGTAGGCAACGTGGATATTTTTTGAAAGCTATTCTACTTAAGTTCTCTATATGTGCAAAGTTTCCGATCAAAATTCGAAAGTTTAGTTAAATTTCAATTGAAAATCAAATCATTTTAAGATTTTTATTAGAACACTATCTAGTAGTGATTGACAAAGAATCATTGAAATCGAAAGGGAACAGTTGAAAGAGTTCCTTCGTAAATTTTATCACTTATAACAAAAGATGTATCGAGACGTCAAAGTAAAAAATTTCGATCTGAAATTTTTCCTACATATAGATCTTCTGATTTTTATAGAGAATTAAATATCACAATCAAAACGAATGGTTCTTTCTCGAAACTTTCACTTTCTGGATAAAGAAGCATTCGTTTTGATCGCGTGACATTTATATCATTATATCATTCATGAGATTGTATATGTGGGAAAAATTTCAAATCGAAATTCTCTACTTTGAGTTTTCGATAAGTCTCTTGCTATAAGTGATAAACCTAGTAAGACAGTTACAATTTATCAAAAAAAGACCTATGGACAGAGCTCGTTGGATCTCAAAATTTTCGGACACGATGAGTTCTATCTATTGGTATTTATTATTTTAGGTTTTTTCTAATCTTACTGGGTCCTACTTATGCAAAAACAAAATGTTTCATTAATTCGAGAAAAAATCAATGTGATAATTACTTGATTTTGTTGTTCACGTTGTTGAACATAATGTCTTTGTTGATTAAGTCTTGCTTGCATTTCTGCTTCTTGTTCTGTTAAACGTTGTAAATGAATTTGTCTTTGATATTCCAAATAAGCCTAATGATTCATTCATATATAAAGAATCAATTTCTTTTTTTTTTTGCTTATAAAAAAAAGTAATTTTACTTGTTTTTTTTGACGCATATCATCAAGTTTAACAGCTAATTGTATTTGTCGTTGTCTTTCACGTTCTACAGCTTGTCGTTTTTTATTTTCAAAATGTTCTTCACGTAAAGCATTCAATGCTTCTCTTGCATCTTTTAATTGATTTAATTTATCTTGTAAACTTTCATAATAAGCTAAATAAATAAATAAATAAATAAATAAATTTCTTATTTTAATAAATAAATCCAAAACCTTGTTTATCATCAAGTGAGTTTATAAAACGATGTAATTCAGGATACATCTGTTGAAGTATAAGAAATACTGATTGTACAGCTGTATCATTTGCTATATTTCTTCCACGTTGTTGATTACTTAACATACGAAATTTAATATTATTTATATGTTCATTAACAGTATTAACAAATATATCAATATCCTCATCACGTACATATCGATCCAATGGATCCTATTAGATTAAAAAAACAAAGTTTTTGGTTTGTTTTTTTGTGTTAAGAAAAGAATTATGAGACTGTTCAGTATACGAGGCACTCGATCAAAAGCAAAAAATCTCTATTGTTTTTTGTGCATTCAATGCATCGAAGTCCGAAACTATCGATTTTTTACCACTATCAAATCCTTATGAGAAAAAAACAACAACAAAAAAAAAAAATACTCTGTAAAAATTGTGCTCATTTTCGTTTCAACGAAGCATTCAACTTTGTTATAAATTATATTAAAAGATAGATATTTAAAAAATGAACTATTTAAATATAATTAATATAATGCTGGTTGACTCAAGCTTTCTAAGGACAACATGAATAAAAATTGGTTCTTTTGACTTGTCTAAGATGTTCACTTGATAAGAATTAATCTTTTGTCAGGATTCAGAATCAGATTTTCAAGCTGAGTTTTATAATTATTATAGAACTTTTCATTTTCTACAAAATAGTAAAAAAAAAATATTCAAAAATAAATGGTACCTTCGGGCGAAACAGGGTTTACATCTCTTTTCTACAAGGTGATTTCTCAGTAGACAAAAAAAAACATCTTTAGAGATTTCTATTGCGATATTCGGATTCAGCGTGAAAAACTACATCAAAAAACAAATACACTTTAGAGGAGTTTTTTTCCTCCGAAGAACTGATCCCTGACAGACCACAGGTGATTTTTTTTTCGTAGGAGAAACTTTTCTCTAAAATATATTTGATTCAACGTAATTTTCCATGCTGATTCCGAATATTGCAATAGAAATCACTACGGATGTTTTTTTTTCTACTGAAAAATCATCTTGTAAAAAATAGATGCGAACTCTGTTTCATCCAAAGTTACCATTTATTTTCGAATATTTTTTTACTATTTTGTAGAGAACAAAATGGTTGTATAATGGTTATAAAATTCAGCTTGAAAATCTGATTCTGAATCCTGACAGAAGATTAGCTATTATCAAGTGACTTCGTTGAAACGAAAATGAGCACAACTTTTACAGAATATTTTTTTTTTGTTGTCGTTTTTTTCTCATAAGGATTTGATAGTGGTAAAAAGTCCATGGTTTCGGCCTTCGACGTATTGAATGCACAAAAAACAATAGAGATTTTTTTCTTTTGATCGAGTACCTCGTGTACTCGACGGTCTTATGATTCGTCTTTTAATTACTTTAGCTAATGGTTTAATTCTAATCAGATCATTTTTAGTTTGAGTTTCCCAATAATTTTGTTCATTATCATCAGCTATAGGTGCTGAACTAATTGGTATTTGTGGATATTGAATAGTTGAATTAAAATATTTTTGTGTTAATAATTTTTTTTGACGTTCTTTTTCTTCAGCTTCATTTCGAGATAATGTCAAAGCTAATTGAAAAGCATCTTCATCTTCAATTTCATCTTGGTCTTTTTCTTTTGGTTTAGTTATTGATAAATATTCTGGACGAATACTACCAGTTCTATAGGAAAAACAAAAGATTTTTTTATAGAAATTACTATAATACATTTATCTTACGTTTGTACACGATCATAACATTCTATACAAACTCGTACATCATCTTCAATACCATATTCAAGTAAAGGACATTGCCTTGATGAGCCTATTTTAAACAAAGTAATAATAATAATAATTAAATTCATATGTTAGATAGAAAATAAACTACGAACATGCTGCACAAAATGTTTCACCACAAGCACGACAATGATGTTTTCGAGTAAATGCTGAAAATGATGTATGACAACGAAAACAATGATCACGATCAGTCCTAAATAGCAAAAGAACAAAAAAACAAGGAAATTTTTAAATAAAAATTTAATAAATTTTATATTCTAACCATAGTGGTGGTATCAGTGTAATTACCATTGTTTTGTTATTGTCGAAAGATATTTAGATAAATGAGTAAATGATTGATTGACTAACTGACTGATTATATTATTCTGGGTTAAGAAATTATTTGGTTGGAGAAGTATATTGACCAATAAAACGATTTCAAGATAATTTTATTTTTATTGCTTTTTACGTAAAATTTTTATCTTATTTTATAGGTGAATGCCAACACAACCTGTTACATTTGTTTGTCGTTTTTGTTATTCAACAAATCATTCTTTATATCCAGTTCGTCTTTATTGTATAAGTTTACATGAAGGTCTTATTATGTGTGCAAATCAAAATTGTACAGGAATTGTTAATGGTCATGTTGATCTTTTAAAAATGATTCTACCTATAACATCATCAACAACACAGTTAACATACGAACAATATCAAAAAACACCCTATTATAGTCCAGAATGTGATTTTCTTGTGACAGATATACCATCAGAAATATAAAGAATTGTTTTCTTTTTTTTTACTGTAATATGTTGTTGTTTTTTGTTAATTTCGAAAATATTTTAGATAAAAAAAAATATGAGTTTAATGTTGAATGATGAAGTGGCTTTAGGAAATGATGTTCGATATAAAAGTTTTATTGTAGCTATTGAAAAAGTTCTTAAACAATTTGAATCATCAACGGAATGGGCTGACCTTATTACTAATTTAGTCAAAGTTAAAAAAGTAAGATTTCATCGAAGAATGTCATGTTTATAAATGATTAATTTAATCATATATATGATAATCATTTTCATCTATCGGTATTCGAAAGTAGAACTAAAAGTTGAATATTAAAGATTTATTAAACTTGAGAGATGCGAGTCTAAATTTATATTAATCCTTTACTCATCTTCCTTGGTCACTGGAGTAACCCTTCGTAAAACGATTACAGAAAATTAAGAAAAAACTTTTTTGTTTATGTTGCTCCATCTTCGGAAAAAGATGAGTTATAAAATTGATAAGTTTGAAAAAAACCGCAAAACTTAAATCTTTTTTAAATAAAATGTTTTGTTTTTTTGTATCAACAAACAAGATATAAAGTGGTGGACATAAATTTAGGACATTTATTTTTGAAAATTTTTTGACGAAGAGAAGTAGCTAGGTCAAATCCAAATAGTGATTTGGATAGCCCTTGAAATTCTCTATCGAATACAATACATGTCAAATTTTCAAAAGAAACTTTCTGAGAAAAGTTTTCTAGAAAACTTTCCACCGAAATTTCAGGTCCTAAAAAAAATCGACAAAAATATTTTTAAATATAGTCATCTGAAGGAGCAAAAAATTCTGAGCAAAATGAAGGGTTGCTCAGTCCTTCACGATGTTTCGTTGTAAAGTTATAAGCATCGGAAAAAATGTGTTTTTAGTTGATTTTTCGAGTTTTTTGATAAAATTGACTAAAACACATTTTTTTCGGTTTTTCTGATGCTTATAACTTTACAACGAAATATCGTGGAGAGCTGGGTAACCCCTCGTTTTGCTCAGAATTTTTTGCTCCTTCAGATGACTATATTTAAAAATATTTTTGTCGATTTTTTTTAGGACCTGAAATTTCGGTGGAAAGTTTTCTAGAAAACTTTTCTCAGAAAGTTTCTTTTGAAAATTTGACATGTATTGTATTCGATAGAGAATTTCAAGGGCTATCCAAATCACTATTTGGATTTGACCTAGCTACTTGTCTTCGTCGAAAAATTTTCAAAAATAAATGTCCTAAATTTATGTCCACCACTTTATAATGGAAATATATTATTTGAAGTATAACGATGACAATGTCTACTACTGATATCAATACTTTTCAAAAATATCACAAAAGCTAGATAGAGAATGATCGCTGCAGATTTTCCGGAAAACTAAATCTTTAGCTCTTCAGTGCCTACAACTCGGATACAAATTTTACTCACATCACATGAAATGATAGAGTAAATCATTCTCTACATTGGTATTTCGTCGAACTAGATCAGATTTACGGAAGTTTTCGAACTGAAACATCGCTTTTTAAGTTGAAACTATATGCATTATGTAGATCTAAATGAGCTATGAATATCCTGAAAATAGTTCGTGCGATTCGCTTATTTCTGTAGAGATCCTGCACTTTACACTTTTTGTAAAATGAGTGTCGTAGTAACAAAAAACGGATTTTCGATTTGAAACTTTGGATACAGAATACCTTAATGAGGATGGTTTTTTGTAAATGTTTCAGATCTTGCTGCTATTTCTATCCTAATATATAATTATAATAATAGCGTAGCCACACCCACCCCATAATTTTCGCTGCAATTTACTTTGAATCTTTTTTGAAATATTCTTATTACAATTTATTCAAAATTTTTGTTTTAATCAAAAACAATTTTCTTTTCAAAGACCATAGAAAATTATTCACAATTTCATTCAATACCAAAACGTATAACACTATCAAAACGTCTTGCACAATGTCTTCATCCAGCATTACCATTCGGTGTTCATTTAAAAACTCTTGAAGTATATGAAACAATATTTCAAATAATTGATAAATATCATTTACAACGTGATATTATTTTATATTCATATGGATTATTTTCTTTATTATCTGATGCTGCATTACCTGTTAAACCTATTTTATTAACATTATATGAAACATATTTTTTACCATTAGGTGAAGCACTTAATCCAATATTAACAGGATTTTTAATTGGATTATTTTCCGCATTAGAAGAAGGTGCTGATTATTATAATAGAATTATTATATTACTTGATAATTTAGCAAATCGTATTGATGAATTTTATTTTTATACTTGTATATGGTCAGCTATAAATTTTGTTTCAATAGTACGTTATTCAGCAATAACATTTATTTTAAATCATTTTGATAAAAGAAAAAATATGTCAGATCAAATTTATTTAATTGGTTTATCAATTGAAACAATGGTAAAAAAAAAATAATAATAAAGTGAAAATGTACATAAAACAATAAGAAAATAGTTTCTTTTTTTTTTTAATTTTTAACTAGGTTTCTGCTGTTTGTACATGTCTTCATGATAGTGGACAACCATTAGTTCAACGTTCAATTCTTGATTTTCTTCTTACTTGTTTACCATTGCATAGAAAACTATTATTAAAAATAAATATGGTCAAAATAATTAATGGAACATTTTATATTTTATTACAACGTGATATGACATTAAATCGACGTATTTATACATGGTTTCTTGGTGCAAATCAATTAAGTGAAAATATTACTAATGAACAACATCAAGTCAATGATTTAATTGATTCATCATCTTATTTTGTTACACATACACAAGAAATTTTAATAGAATCATTGAGAAGTTTACTTGAATTGATATCTATGAAACCAACATTAACCATCGTTAAATTAGATAATGATGATAACAAACCGATGACAAGTATTATTGATTCACATCGATCATCGACTTGGACATTAACGAAATTAATTCGCGTACTTCTTATTCTTAGTACGTAAACACAAAAAATTAATTTCATAGACAAGAACTATTAAGATTTTAATATTATACTGTCAAAAAAAAAAAACTACACGATATTTAGTTTTCAATGATTTTTGAGAATTTCGGAATATTCCAGAACAAAAAATAACTACATGAAGTTAGTCTCTACCACAATATTCTCTTTTTCCACAAACTATTGTTTGTACGTTGTTAACTAATCGATATGATTTTTGTTTACTTTCAATTTATGATCATTTTTTAAAATAAATTTCAAAATTGTATAGAACTTACATAAAACTGTTATAATTGTATTGAATTATTTTGTAACTTATACCTAGGTCGAGAAATATGGGTCGTTTCCGACCAGAAAACTTAAAAAAAAATGGTAGGAAATTGGAAGTAGGAATCCGATGGCTCGATTTTTTCTAATTCTGATTGAGACTGAGCATCGAATTCTTGTTTCCAAGTTCCTACAATTTTGTCGAGTTCTCCAGCTGGCAAGCGCATCTTTACAGCTGGAACCTGCTGAAAATTGACAGATCTGAACGGTGGAAATCATTGACCGAGGTATACATTATTCAGTGAAAAAATATTTCTTTTGCTTTATAATCTATGAAGATCAATTATTCAAACATATTTAAGTCATAAGTTGAATATTTAAAAGACAGTAGCTTAACCTTCATCAGGAAAATCTTCGTCATAGTTTAATGAACAAGACTAATGTTTGAAAAGGTTACAAATTGAAAAATACTTCAGTACTTTACAAATTGCAACAAACCATTCTTTGAATAATTAAAAATAAAGCCTGTAACGTGTTTTGACTCTTGATATATACAATTGATGTTACTTCTTTGATTTACACATCATATTTGTTTGAACAACATAGCTATTGTCTAGTAATACTTCTAAATAAATTCTCTATTGTTTTAGTCGACAAACCAGACGTTGGCCCGAATATTATCGAATCTATTTTCATGAATTATTTACTTCTTATTTATGAGCAAGTTTATCATCCATCTAAAAAATTAACATCTATCAATATTCAACAAGAAAATAATTATTCTGAGACATTAAAAACATTCAATATGCTTCTAGATACATTAGAACCCTATTTTATATGGGAATTTTTAACAAAAAATTTCGATATTATTCTAAATCAACAAGAAGATAATAATTTTATTACAGCTAGATCTACTATTGAACAAATATGTGGTATTATTGATATGTTATTAGATATATTTTCATTAGAAAATTCTCTTGACACTCAACTTGAACATTTATCTGAAATGCTTTATCATCTTATACAAATAATAAATGATAATTTTGAAAAATTGACATCAAATCAAATAATATTATGTATAAAATTATTATTAAAAATTTTTAAAAATATTATTTTCACTAATACAAATCATCATTTATCTATATTTCGTTGTTCATTTAATTATCAAAATGAAATATTTGATAATTATTTAACTATTTATAATATTGAAGATGATAATGAACATACAACTTTTATTGATAATGAATATTCAACAGATATTTATAATAAATTATTACGTACAGATAGTATAAATGAATTAGAAAATCCAAATTCAATAATCGAACAAGAGAATTTAAATGATATTGAACAATTACTTCATCAAATGATACATAAAGTTGAAAAACAACTTGACAAATTAAATAATCAATTATTTGATAATAAAAAAAGTCGATTATCAACAAAAACAATGTTAGAATCAATAAATAATATTGAAAAATCAATAGAATTATATAAGAAATTTTTTCATCGCTTTATTATTACATATTTAATTGATCAGAATCAAGTATTAATAAATGATAAATTTCAAAGTATTTATTCAATTATACAAAATAAAAATAATGATAATCTTTTAATAATTTTTAATCGATATCGACAATTAAATGAATTTCAATTAAAATTAACTAATAATGTTGATCATTATATAACAGCTTTTGAAAATTGTTGTAAATTACTTACTGAATTTTGCTGTTTTCCAATACAATCATCTTTGAATAATCAGTCATTTTTACCAAAAGGTATAAATTAAAGAAATTTCTGTAACACAGAATTGTCAATAAGATCAGCTAATATATACATATATATGCATGACGATTGTATTATTGAATCATTCGTAGTATCTTTTTATTCTGTTTATGTTTTAAGAGAAAATATTACTCGATAACAATCGAATTCAAGTATGCATCACATATTATTGCAAACAGATCTATCTATATTTAGTAGTAAGATTAAAGCATTGGAATTTTTCTGGATGATACATTGATATCTATGCTTAAATTATAATACTATTGAACATCAATAAATGAAACAATATTTTGTATTCTTCTCGTTTCAAACTTTATGTCAACTTTATTTACTTACGTTCTTCGTTTTGTTCTATAATGTCACGTATTGGATATATTTTCTCAAATAGCAAAATCTGAATAGTAAAAGCTGATAAAATAGATCCTGACAGTACTACGGTTTTTTATTTTATCTCAATAAAATCACAAAATATCAATTACTCAAAGAATACTTTTCGATATTTCTAGTGGTGGCGCGATCAAGGAGAGAAGGAACTATAGGAGAGAGTACCCCTTTCTATTTTTGAAAGTTTGACTACAACTTTCTCTAATTTCGACGAAACTCGGACTATACTTTTCTCTGATTTTGTGAAGACTTTATGTAATGCAACTATGAAATTCTTGACAAACTTCATTACTTTCTACGACAATTCGAAGTATTTTTAAAGTACCAAGAGTTTTTTTAGGCAATAGAGTTCTAAATCATTCATTCAAATTTTTCAAATGACCACCTGAGCTTTATTATCCGTGACGATAATAAATGAACTTCAAAAGATTTTGAAAAAATTGTCACAAAGGCAGAACTGACTCCAAGCTAAAAGAAATATGTATCATTTTCGAAAGCGAAATAAATCTGTCTATTTTTCGAAAGCATAGTGTAAGCTTGAGTTTGTAATGAAATTCAATAGTTATCGCATTGATTGACAGTTGTTGAAAGCGAAAAAGATTGAGAAACTCTTCTCACCTAAACACAAAAACTTTTTTTTTGTGCAAAATAATATAGAACTTTTTAGAAGTCTACACAATAATGTTTGATACGAAACAAATGATTTTGAGTTCTGTATAAATTTATGAGTTTGTTTCAAAGTTTGATTGTTATGTAAAAACTGGTCGAAAACAACCGTATTTTTTGGCACATTCATCATTGCAGAAAAAATTTACAGTACATAACAAGGCCAATGATTGCAGTGCCTCGATTTATGAATTTCAGACAGGTTTTAGCCGGAAAGTTTGGAAGCAGAGAAATCCGATGATTAGATCTGGTAGTCGAATTTTTCTAGTTTTGGGCACCAGATTCTTACTTCCTAGTTTCTACTATTTTCCCAAGTTTTTCAGTCGAAAACCGATCCTTATTTCTTGACCTGGATCGATCCAATTTCGACTGCCTCAGGACGGTAATATGTTGGATAATATGTCTTTGGTTTTCAAAAATGCTCCCGTTCTGCTCTGATCTCTACGCATACGATCTGAAAATAAAATAAAGTTCAATCGTTTTTGTTTTAGGTAAAATTGATTTTGACGATTGGTCAATGGATATATGTGTTCTATCATTATGTATTAGTGATCATTTTTCTCTTCAAACGATTGCAATATCTGTTTTAATTGAATTATTTGGTTATACATTAAGTTTATATAGTTCAAATAAAAAAAATTCAATTGATATTCTAGCTAATAATCAATTAATTATATCATCATTTACTTACGAACAAGTATTATTACTTATAAATGAAACTGAATTTTTTCAATATATAATTGCATATTTTTGGGAATATTTAAATGATAAATATGATCGAGAATATAATTTAAAAGCTTCACATATATTATCAATACTTCATTCAATGTTACCAAATAATTTATGTGAAGATTTAATATATAATCAATTATCATTAATAAATATTCAACAAATTGAAATTGATATAAAAATTATTGAAGAATATAAAAAATTTTTTAAATTATGGAATTCAATTCGTAATATTCCTCATATAAAAAATGAACATATAACAAAATCATTTCAACATTGTTTAATTTATATTTTAAAAATACTTAAAGAATCAAATGATTATTGTTTAAAATCCATTGTACAAAAATGGACTTATGATTGTTTTACTCATGGTAAATAATTATAAGAAAAAAAAAAAAGAATATTATTTAAATATATAATATCTTAAAAATTTCTTTGTAGGAGATGTATGTCGAATATTTGATATACTTCTTATTATGCTTTTACATTCAGATACAGCACGTGTTAGTATACAACGATTTGATCCAATTATTCATAAAGAATTTTTTCTTGATCAACAAATCAACATCAATGAAATCAAATTTTCTATGATACCTGATGATGAAAATAATGAAGATTATGATGATGAATTTGTACATGATGATAAAGTTCAAGAAGAAGAAACTGATCATGATAAACGAGTAAGATTTTATCATAGCAAAAACATATTTGATTGAAATAAACTTTCTTTTTTTTTTCTTTCTTTCTCATTAACAGATTCGTGCAATTAGTTCTATAAATCTTACTGAATCTATCGATCATATAAAATCTTCTCCACAAATAATAAAATTTCCAACTATTTCAAATCTTTCACAACCAATTCTTTCCAATATTCGTTCACTTTCACCACCAACATTATTTAAATCAGTTAGACAACGTAGATCTACAATACAAACTGTATTTAATCGAAATAATATTCAATTTGAATCAAGTAATAATACTATTATTAATAACTCATCTCATTCACATTCTATACCAAATAGTAGTATCATAAGTGAATCTAATTCGTCACAAATAAATGATTCTATGGATTTTCAATATGCTTATATTTTACTTTATACACAACCTTATGATCATAATCGTATAATATTATCTTTAAATATAATCGATAGTTTATTTGATCTTATTCCACAACAA